TTGCCCCTCACTTTTATAGTCTAGTTCCCCTTTGAAGTGGATTCTTCTGAGGATTACCCCTCAAAGCAAACTTTATTCAAACAGGAAAGAAGGTGATCTGAAGTTTCAGATTCGTTCAGTTAAACTCTGGAATAGGCTTCCAAGGGAGGTTCTGGAATCCCCATCATTTGAGGTTTGTAAGAACAGGTTGGACAAACACCTGCCAGGGATAATCTAGGTTTAGTTGGTCCTGCCTCAGCCTGGGGGTTGGCCTTGATGACCTTTCAAGGTACCTCCCAGCCCTACGTTTCTATGATTCAACAGGAGAAACTGAGAAAGGCCCACATCAGACTCCCCTGTAGCCCAGTGATTAGAGTACTCACCCATGAGGTAGCAGACCTCTGTTTAAATCCCTTCTCCTCTGGTAGAGAGGAGATGAGAATTAGGGGTTTCCCACATCCCAAGTGAGTACCCTAAATGCTGGGCTAAAGAATATGAGGCAGGACCTCCTCCCTATCCTTGGCATTTTGTGTAAACTCACCTGTAGGGCCCAAACTCAGAGCATGCTTACCAGATCAAGTCCTACAGCTGAGTTAGGCAGAAGAATGCCTGTCTTCTCACAGTTCGTGCATCGCTCTGGGGTTTATGCATCCAGATACCTGGCATGGGGGCAGCAATGAGCATACTCAGAGGCAGAAACATAGGTGCCTAGGGAACTTTAACTGCAAAAACATAGGTGTCAAGCGAGTTTAGGTTCCTACAGCATTTGGTGGCAGCTGAGAAAGGATTTTGTGAATCCCAGTGGGGCCTGATTCTGGGATTTAGGTGCCTAAAGTGGTAGTTAGGCACCTAAGTCCTTTTGTGACTCTAGCACCAAGTGTCCCTAGTGGAGAAATGTAACACTGTACTTGTAAATCTTACCCTCTGCTTTTAAGGTGTGGTGCTGAGGAGTGCTAGACACCTACCAGCTCCCACTCACATCATTTGGCGGTGTAAGTGCTCAGTATCTCTCAGGATCAGGCCCTTGTTACAAACCTGTCTCTTGTTGTCAAAATTCCAGACTGTTCAAAATTGCAGCTCTGCGGGTTCCCATGGAAACAAATTCCATTGCTTTTTAGGCTGCCACCAGTAAACTGCAAAAATGTTTAGAGATTACGGGCTGCTGAAAGCCATGATTCTTCTGGGTACAAACATGGAACTCTGCTAGCTGATTCCCAAGCCTGAAATAAAGTCATTAAATAGGATTTACTATTCTGTATTTCTCGCTAGTATTTCCACTGTGATCTTGTTACATTCGGAGATGGTTCCTTCCAGCTCAGGGTTAAGTTATAGTGGCAGGGCCTCATGGGGGAAGCTCGCTGCCCCTGGCAGTGCTGTACCAGTCCTATTTATAAGCACAGGTCTCCAGAGCTGTCAATCAAACTCATTTCCCAACTGCTATACACATTCAAACCACCACACAGCCAGGGACTTCCTTCTCCTGTTATTCAGTCCTGATACATTTTGCAGACTAGATGAAAACAACAGAAACACAGAAGAACAGGAACATCAAATTTTCTGTATCATTCTTGTGCAACAACAAAAACAAAACAACCCTCCAATAATCACATAGAAACATTTAAATGAAAATGACATCCTGTGACCTACTTTAACCTTTTTTTAACTTAATATCCTCCAGGTTTTAAATATTCTCCCTTTAAAAATTCCCTGATTCCCTGCAGATGAGAAAAATCAATGATATTGGTGCATATGTAAAGGAAGGAAATTTAAGGAGCTATGTAAATTTCTACTCCACTGAAAATACAAGTGGGAAAAAAGTTGGCAAAATGAAGTTCTATACTGATACACAACAACTACTGAGTGTGACCCGGGATGCCTGAGGTAGCCCACACTGAAAATGTATATCTGGAATGATTCATCACAATTTTATAATATTGGTATCAACAATATCATAAAGTGTCCCACATATTCCATACAGCGTCACAATGAGTATTACAAACAGAAGCACAAAGAATTAAAATTGACTGTCACAGTTAGACTGAAACAATTCCTGCTAGAACATATGGATTATAGTTGTGACCAGGAGGTTTTCGAACACCATACAAAGCTGTACTAATTTGTAAGCATAGACATCAGAATTCATATATTCTACATAGTTATGATATTGCTTACTATGTGCTACACCTTCTAGAAGTCTGCTGTCTGCAGTCGGCTGCCATTTTTGGCACTTAAACTACAGCCCTTGAGACCAGTGGAACAGAGCATGTTGGGCGGAAGCTAGAGGATGGGCACTACTGTTGCAGCCTGAGGCTCTATGACTGCTGCCATCACCAGCCTGAGTGTGGAAAGGGCAGTTGAGGGACCTAATCCTCCTCTGTACCTCTGGGCCATCTTTCACTGTGACCGAGGAGCAGCAGCTGTACCATGTGGCCCCAGGAGCGGGGAGGAGTAGGGGAGGTATTTGGGTTGTTTTTTCTTGTCCCCATCAGACATGACCTGAGTTGGAGCCGGGGGACAGGTCTGTCCGAGCAATAATCCCCACTTCTGCATGGGAGATGAAGGAGTTCAGGAAGGGCTAGCTCCAAGAAACCCCCTGGTCAGAAGGAGCCCAGGAATATTGGGTACAGTAACTCCTTACTTAATGTCCCGGTTAACATTGTTTCATTGTCACGTTGCTGATCTATTGGCGAACATACTCATTTAAAGTTATGCAATGTTTGCTTATAATGTTATTTGGCAATGGGGGCTTGGAACCAGGGTGGGCCGGCAGCCCCCTCAAACCCCCCCCCAGCACCTCCCGCCCACCAGCGGCCCCACAGGTCAGCAACTCCTCCCTCCCTGCGCCTCCTGCCCGCAGCAATCAGCTGATTCGTGGCGTTCAGGACGCTCTGGGAGGGAATGGGGGGGAGTGAGGATGTGGTGCACTTGGGTGGAGGAGGGGCAGGAAGAGGCGGGGTGGGGATGGAGCAGGGGCAGGAAGAGGTGGGGCAGGGGTGGGGCCTTGGGGGAAGGGGTGAAGTGGGGGGCAGGCCTGGGGCAGAGCCAGGGGTTGAGCACCCCCCGGCACTTTGGAAAGAACAGCCAGAGGAGCAGCTGGACGATCCACCCTCTTTCACCCTCTGACTCCACCACCTCAACCAAGCTTCACAATCATCATTGCTGAGTACATTATTCAATTGTTTGTTTAAAATTGTTTAAAACTTATACCGTATATGTATATAATGTCTTTTGTCTGGTGGAAAAAAATTCCCCGGAACCTAACCCCGTCCCCCCCCCCTTTACATTAATTCTTTAGGGAAACTGGATTTGCTTAACATCGTTTCACTTAAAGTCACATTTTTCAAGAACATAACTACAACGTTAAGTGAGGAGTTACTGTATTTTGCTTTCAATAAGTAAAAATGCCTTTTCCTTTTTGGAAGGGGAAGGTGGTGGCGGTAGGGGACTTGGAAAAACTCCCAAAAGCTCTATCAGAAGCAGAGGCTCTTGGTCCACTGCACACATATGTGTGGTGGTAGAAAATTCCAGGAAGGCATAGTCCCTAGTCCCTAGTCCCTACATGCAGCCACATTTATTGGTAGGGCCCTACCAAATTCATGGCCATGAAAAATGTGTCACAGACCATGATATCTGGTCTCCCCTGTGAAATCTGGCTATTGTAGGAGAGCAGTGGCTGCTGGCTGGGCACCTATCCCAGGAGGCTGCACCGCCGCCAGCAGCAGTGCAGAAGTAAGAGTGACATGGTATGGTATGGTATTGCCACCCTTACTTCTGCACTACTGCTGGTGGCAGTGCTGCCTTCAGAACTGGGCGCCTGGCGAGCAGTCGCAGCTCTCTGGCCGCCCAGCTTTAAAGGCAGTGCCTCTGCCTGCAGCAGCGCAGAAGTAAGGATGGGATGGTACGGTATTGCCGTCCTTACTTCTCTGCTACTGCTGGCGTCAGCACTGCCTTCAGAGCTGAGTTCTTGGCCAGCAGCTGCCACCCTCCGGCCACCCAGCTCTGAAGGGAGTGCAGAAGTAAGGGCAGCAATACTGTGACCCTCCTATAATAGCCTTTCGATCCTCCCCCATGACCCTCTTTTGGGTTGGGACCCCTACAGTTACAATAGCATGAAATTTAAGATTTAAATATCTGAAGCCATGAAATTCAAGATTTTTAATATGCTATGACCGTGAAATTTACCAGGATGGACTGTGAATTTGGTAGCGCCCTAGTTATTGGTCTGCCTCCACACTTCAAAGCTGAGGAGAACACCCCTCCAGTTTGGACATGAGAAACACTGGTCGCAGCTTTGTCATTCTAGCTCCCTACAGCTTGTCGGTATGGCTTGATAGTTAAACAGGTTGCTACAGTAAAAATACATTGTAATATGTGTGGTCCTATCAATCACGTGTCCACAGACCCCCGGCTTATCCTCGACATGCCCATGCTTGGCTGCGTCCTGAATCCCGCGCACGTCCCGCTACCCAGCACTGTTGACTGTGATAAGACCAAAGATCAGCCTCGGCCCACGAAGCTGCGACATTTGCCGGGCTCAGCACTGGCAGGATCAGGTGTTACGCGGTGTATAAATGGTGCCAACCGAGCAGCTCGTGAGAGAGTCGATCACGAGTAACAAAGCCACGTTCAGGATTCACACTTCAGCCCAGTCGGGTGCAACCTCCCCGCCCAGCCCAAGCCCCGCCCCCTCGCCTGGGGCTGCAGCCCGAGGGCAGGACTCGGCTGTGCACCAGCGGGGCTTTGCCCGACTCTCAGCACCCGGCCTGATCACTGGGGGGCGCAGATGGGAGCTGGGGAGCCCGCAGCGCTAACCTGGATCAGGCTCCACCCCTCGCCTAAGAACCAGGATATTTGTGCCTGGGCCAGATAGGTCCCGCTCCAGCCCCGCCCCGGGCCCCAGCAGCCCCAGGGGCGCCCCTGTGGGAGTTCAGCATCCCCTGCCTAACGCTGCGGCCCGCGAGCGAGAGTAACAGGAAGAGGTGGCACTACTAGGCCCGGGAGCGTCTCCTAGCAACGCGGAAATGGCAGCCCCCGCAGCATTGCGCATGCGCACAAAATCCCGGTCCCATGTGTTGTCTTTGCTACCGTCACTTCCGGCTCTCTGGATCTGTATCCGGTCCGGGGTCACAGCCTCAGCTGTGCGGCTGCCGGAGGGACGCGGCGGGGGCGGGTGAGTGTGGCAGGGGCCTGGGGACAGACGCCAGAATCCCGCCTTCCGGCGCTGCCGGGGCCGGCCCCGAACCCGTGGGCAGTGGGGTTAATGCACCTTGTGGGGCGGGGGAGTCGCTCCCTGCGCCGCGGGCACCCGGGGGTTTCCCTGCTGCTCTCCCTGGGGGTGGGCCGACGTCAGCCCCTCTCACGGGAGTGGTGGTTTCGCTCTGCAGGCGCTTAGTTTTCACCACCCGATCAGAGTTTCTATCAGGTTGGGGCCTGGGGAAATAGCTTCAGATTCCTGTTATTCAGCTGTAACAGGGGCCAGGAAAGGGGGAGCCTTAGTGCAGCTTTGTCATATCGCGACACTGATTTAAAGTGTAGTTTAGGGTTTGCTCTTGTAAAGGGAGCATATACCCAGTTTTGTAATTTGCGTTGGTATTTTGTTAAGTGCGGACCCTTTCTGGTTCCTGTAAGTGGAAGCCGGCTGATGTGAAGCACCTGGCCTCTTTCTAAAATTAAATGTTGGTGATTATAACTTCGTGTAGGGTTAAGCTTCTCAGACGTACAGCAGCTGCTTATCAGCAATACGATTCATTTTATTTAGTTCTCCACAGTTTACTGTGACACAAGAGCAAGTGGCACACTCAAGGTTATTGAAGCCATTACAAATAAAGTCCCACATCTTGCCAGTTCTTGGACCTTTTTCACTAACCAGTGCCATATTTGTGTGTGAATAAACTTGAGGCAATAGGCAGATCAGTGTTTAAAGGGGACAAGACATTTACAATTTTATTTTATTTTGCCAGTAATAAAAATGTCAGCGCCATCAATGGAGGAAAGGAAGGCTTGCTGGGGAGCCAGGGATGAATACTGGAAATGCTTAGATGAAAATATGGAAGATGCATCTAGGTGTCAGAAGCTTAGATGTTCTTTTGAATCTAGGTGTCCACAGCAATGGGTGAGTGCTAGTAGCTTTTCACCAGTCATAAGATGCAACCTGACAGTTGTGTTGTATCAAAAATGAATTTCTTCTGCACATAAATTAGTTCATATAAGCATTCTCAAGTAATGCTGCAATCTGCATTATTCATAATACCTTACAGTAATTTTGTTTTTCATTTAACAGACACTGCTTCCCTTTAATTTTTCCAGTTATGTAACTGTCCAGAATATTTGTACAATGGCATAAACACATGTAAGCAATGCCCTACAAATAGTTAACTTCTGCTGCACAGTGAGCAAAGCATTACTATTGTAGATCCTCTTAAAGATTGGGTATTTGTTTCATGGAGTGGTACATTGAAAAAACAAAGTGTGTATTAAATCCAGAAGTCTGCCTAGTCAGATAACTGGTGAAGTAGATTTCACCCTATCTAAGTTATGTTGAGATACCACTGGCAAGGTATTTGGGAAACATCCTGTCAACTCCCAGAAACAGGGAAATTAATGGATAATATTTCATAAGTGAAAACCTTGACCTTAAGGGGAGAATGCTCATGTAATAGTGGCAGGGCTTGCAATTGCATGACACTTGAGACCAATGTATTACTACGTGCTACATCCCATTTTTTCTGCCTCAACGACTGAGTTCACATTTTCTAAACCATTAACATACACAACTTTTCAGTATCAACTTGGTCAAGTATGTATGTTTAAATAATGATCAAAGACTGTTCTTTCCGCAATCCTGTTAGATGATGTGTGAATAAGAACTTTTCATGTTGGAGTCCCATACTACACCAGTTTGCTTTGATGAACATAAAGTGATCTCTCTTTAAAACAGGTAAAATACTTTGACAAAAGAAGAGACTTTTTAAAATACAAAGAACAGCTTGAAGCAGGAGAATATCAGCCTCCTGGGACTACTGAAAAGTCATAGCTACGCATCAACTTATTGAAACACAATCAATTAAAGAATAATCTTATGGAAGAGAAGTACTGAAATATGACAAGAACTCTGAGTTAAAACTAACTGTACTGTAGCTCTAGAAATTCATGCTGCTTTCCTTGTTGCAATGTCTCGCTTTTATGCGAGAACAGTAATTAAACGAAAAAGACAGTGACTAAGTGTGTGTATCAAAGAAATATGGTATATAATTTTTCCTATACCTGAATTTTTTTTATCATGTAACTAGGATGAAAAGCAGTGTTTCCCAGAAATTAATGCACTGAATTATAAATTTATATTTTAGGGAGAATATTAAACTGTTTTCAAACTTGACAAGTTTTTCTATGCATGTGAACTAACTTTTCTAAAAAGCTCCTGCATCTTCCCTCCTTCTCTATGAGGATAATGTGTCAGTGTAAGTGAGCAGGTATACTCTATGCTAATTCTTTGAACATTTTGTGAATCAAATTAATTTCAGCTGTCTTACTGTATGGCAAGATTTTAGATAAAGATCAAGAGGTATAAATAACCACTGCATCTCATTTCTTATGTAGCTGGTCTTCATTTATGTATTTTTATAAACATCTGCACAATTATAGTTGAGATTTGTAGGTGAACAGTTTCTCTAGTATGTCACCAACTTTTTTTTTTTTTTTTTTTAATTTGGAGATATACCTATCATAGAACTGGAAGGGACCTTGAAAGGTCATTGAGTCCAGTCCCCTGCTTTCACTAGCAGGACCAAGTACTGTCCCTGACAGTGTGTGTTCCCCCATCCCATCCCTAAATAGCCCCCTCAAGGATTGAGCTCACAACCCTGGGTTTAGCAAGCCAATGCTCAAACCACTGAGCTATCCCTCCCCCCTGTATTTGTGAAAAATACAATGCTACAGGTATGATTTCTTATATCCCCGTTTGTATAATTTGGTGGCAATGATATAACCAACTCCTGTATTATTCACAATGGATTTACTTCAGTAAAGGTTTGTTTTACGTGAGATAGTCCTTAGGCAAAATAGCAGCTGCTTTAATAACGGCATTTTCCAAATTGTCAGTGAAAAAGGCTTAAGAAAATGTTGGGTATTAGGACAGGGCCCTACACCTGAACAATTCACCCTGATAAATTACCAAGCATAGAGTTTACTGGGATCAGCAAACATTGTTTAGGTGTTTAAAACCTGTGTTTTAAAAATGTTCACTAACAGACCTGATTTATCCCATACTCCTAAACCACTTCCCCATTTCCTGATGTAAAAGACCCTAACTGGTCCTCTGCCAAAACTTCCAGCTTCACTTCTGCAGATTTTGAAGTGATAACATTTTTAGTACATTGAAAATTTAGAGGGAGAGTAAAAAACTGAATTTAATATGAAAATGACCATCACGAAGGAATAATATAATAGATATTTCATACTTAATGTCAGTTTTTAACTTCACCTAAGACAGCTGCAGAATTTCAGGTCTGGTGTACCCAGATGCTGCAGAAAACTTAAAGTACCTTACCACAGACTACACAAGGGTGTTAGTAGTGAGTATGGGTGATAAAATTAAAACCATTTGAACCTCAGCTACAGCTGTTGTGACCAGAATGACTGCTATAGTAAAAACCCTAGATTTTGAAGTACACTGTATGAAACAGTTAAATGTCAGTGAGTTGTGTGTTCGAGGGGAGAAGAGTCCGTTAACTCTGGTTGCTTCCACTGCAATAAGAGATCCACACACATGTAAGCACTATACAAATAAGTATTTATTACCAATAAAACAGTTGTATACGATCAGATAATACACGTTAAGGCATTTAAAAACAATTTTTGTACTACATAATACCGTTGTATGACATGCAAAATTTAAAAACATCGTCATTCACCCTGAGTCTGTAATTATTCCATGTGTTTAAAAACATATTTTACAGCACCATAAAAAGCCATCCAGCTGCATTACAAATAAGGCACAAGACTCTTGCAGTTATTTCAGTTGTTTTTGCCTGATCAGTTGTTGCCTTGTATACTCCCAAATCAGCAGTGCTCCACTTACATGAACATTCAGTGATCGAATGATACCCTGCTGAGGAATTTCCACACAAACATCCAGATGCTGAATCAGGTTTGCTGGGATTCCCTCATGTTCATTTCTAATAAGGGGGAAATTAAAAAGATGTAAATCTTTTACCCAGAAAAGAAGAAATATCACTTCATGCTGTCTCCAATATGCACCTGTCTGGAGAAACCAAAGTGTCCCACAACAGAAAAAACAAGAAATGAGCTACAGTAGCAAACACCACTCACACCACTAGTTGCTGCCAGCTCCACCCATCATGGAATAAGTTTCTTATCCGTGCAGCTGATGCTTACTTCTTCTACATATAACTGATAAGCACAAAAAAAGAAAACCTAAAAATTCCATAGCATTGTAATCAGAAACTTACAAAATACTAAAACTAGCGTCTTGCTTCAGAAGCAAATGTTACAGAAACACTGAAGACAACGGAAACTAGACAGTGTAGTAGTTTAGTCCACTATCGTTTTGCTTTAAGAAAAACTCAGATTGGTTCATTTTTGGTTGTCACATTACAAAATATAATACGGTCTTATCCTAATAAGAGGTTTTCCACATCTCAAACATGAGACTGATATACAAGGCTCCTAGATTAATCTTTTTGCCACAGGAAAACACAGAATTTTTGAATGTGCTTTAAAATTTACATAGCTAAACATACTCCAATAAACTGCTTCTGGCATATAGAGGTCACTCAATGGCCTATGGGAGTTCGTGTTTTAATGCATCTCAAATTTCACTTCAGCCACCAGATGTAATTAAAGTTATGAAAAGATGCCAAAAACTTTAAAAATCACCCCTAAAGATCAAGTCACTGAGTTTGGCAAGGACAAATTTCACGTTGATGGTAAGATTTCTGTGTTTCCAGGATGGGCCAGCTAGGGGATAACCAATCACTAAATACTCGTGACTATCTTAAATATTCCCACACTGGTCCATAGGTATCCAGGTCTGCTATTTCTAGTGACAACACCTCAGTAAGCACTGCTTACACAGACTGTACCCCCTTCTGAATGAGGTCACTGAAAATAACATCACATAGCTATGCTGAAGATAAAATGGGTAAACTAAAGTGTGCAACGTAATTGGAAAACAAAGGTGTGGAAAAGGAGGGTGAGTGAAAGAGGCTGTCACATTACAAAAGACACTCAGGGCATTTATTCTGTCATGTGAGTGACTTATTACTGGGTTTAACTTTAGCTCATTGGCAAGGCAACGTCTATGAAGCTCTACATTAACACTGTATTCAGCTCATGAGAGATGAGGGCACTCTCTTTGCTCTGCAGTGATTCCTGTGGCTGAGCAAATGAATTAGCATTATTGGGCTCTAAAGTCCCATCCAGAAGCCCTAGCCAAGGAATAATGCCACGGTGTGATGCTTTGAGGTGAGCCACAGAGACCAGAGTTATAAAGCCCTCTTTAAAGACAAAGATATTTGATCCATGGGGTTCTATATTTTAAATCTTTTATACCAAGTGGAAGAAAAATACTGTTATATACCGTCTCTTTTTTCCTTCCACCAACATTGCTTGATTTTCAAATCATTAAACTGCGGCTCACGAGGAAGGGTGGCTTGATGGACCACAGTAATAGAAACTACAGATACAGGTTATTTGTAACTTACCCCAGCAATAACAAGGATTTCTCTGGAAAGCAGTATTCGGTCAAGTCAGAACTTTTAGCAGTTTGCTCCACACCTATGATAGTGTAGCCTTCAGTTTTCTTCTGCTGTAAATAATTAACAAGCTGAGATGGTTTCACCTGCATGTTAAGAATAGGGGGGAAATGTACAAATATTTAAATATTTTGTATATAAAAATATATTACCGCAAAAAATTTTTACACATTTCTAAAGTTGAGAATAGAACATTCTACAGAAGAAACAAAAATTAAAATTTTAAACTAATTTTAAGATTTTTTTTTCAGACTGGTAATTGGTAATATACAGAAATAGGCTAGGGCTCTGGGCTTCACAGATATTCGTATAACGCAGATCGTAAGTTTTACTGAATCCATACATGATTATATCATATGGGAGTGTTACTGCAGATCAAGTGCAGGACGTCTGGTGTTGCCCCAGCTTATGTTTACAATGCCTCATTATAAACATCCTTTTTAGAAGGAAGTCAGTAAAAGAATGGAATGGTCGCGAGATAATCCCCTGGTATAGCTGACCGAGAACCTGCTAGAAAAACAGCACCCACTGGGACTACACAAGTATCCACTCACAGCAACAAATGCTCAGGAGCTGAGGTGACAAGAGGCAGTGAGTCCCACAACTGCCTCATTTCTTATTGCCAACAGCCAAGTCCTTTTGAAGATGGACGTGTAGTGTGAATAGCAGGACAGCTCTACCAAAACAGGAATGCGATCTGGAAGCCTCTACTAAAGAACAGTGTCTTGAAATTGCGTGGACCAAGTATCAGAGGGGTAGCCATGTTAGTCTGTATCCACAAAAACGAGGAGTCTGGTGGTACCTTAAAGACTAACAGATTTATTTGGGCATAAGCTTTTTTGGGTTTTTTTTTTTACTCACAAAAGCTTATGCCCAAATAAATCAGTCTTTAAGGTGCTACCGGACTCCTCGTTGTTTGTGTGGACCAAGTACCACATAGCTGTGCGGCAGATTTGGCTACTGGTACATTCTTCAAACAAAGGCAGCAGAAGCTGCCTGAGCAGTAGTGGAATGAGCTCTAATGTGGCTAGGTGGATCTAGTCTACCTTTAGTACGTCCTTATACAGGTGAACGCCCATTTTGATAATCAATGGGAGGTTATTGCCTGACCCTTAATCCTATCAGCAAAGATCACAAACTGGCTAGGTGTGTTCCTGAAAGATGGTGTCTTGTTAAAGTAGTATGACAATGTCCTTACTACATCAAGCATATGAAGTTTAACTTCCCAGGGGATTGAGTGAGGCTTGGGAAGGAAACTTGGTGATGAATAAATTGCTTCATATGGAATTCCAAAACCACTTTGGGCAGGAACTTGGGATGAGGCCTCAGAGTAAGCCTGTCCTTATGAAACTGTGTATATAAGGGGAAGCCCCCCACAAAAGACTGAATCTCCCCTACTCAAGCTGATGTAATGACTACTAAAAAGGCAGTCTTCAGTGATAGACGGTATACAAGGTTCAAAGTGTGGCGTGATCAACCTTGTTAATACTATACTGAGATCCCAAGGTGGGCTCCTGAATTGGTGAAAAAGCATGAATAAAGTCCTTAAGGAATATAGCCAGTGTAGGGTGAGAAAATATAGTGTGGCCTGACTTGCAGATTTTACTGCTAGATAGATCTTTATGGAGCTAACAGAAAGCCCCAGAATAGAGATATTATTGCTAGGTAGATCCATATGGGGCTGACAAAAAGCCCAGAATGTTTCTGATAGTAAATAGTTCTCTGTTGTTGAAATGGGTGTCCAGTGAAATGAAATGGGTGCTCAGATGTCCAAACAGAAAACCACCACTTGGTTTTATAAGTCATTCTAGCTGAGGCTTTTCTGCTTTGGAGCAGCATGTTCTGACCCTCAGGAGAACACCTTATGATGTACATCAGCCAGCCAGCATCCAGGCTGTCAAACATAAGGAGACTGGGTCTAGGGGTGGATCTAGCCTCCCGGGATGTTTTGTGAGACCATGTCAGACTCAGCAGGTAAGAGATCGGGGGTTGCATTGAATAGTTCATCACATCCAAATACCAGAACTCCTTGGCCCATCATGATAATCAGTCCAGCATCTTGACTCATTTTCCTCAGGACCCTCGGTCTCACAGGAACCAGGGGCAAAGCATATATCAGTCCCTGTGTACAGAGGGTAAGAAAAGCATCTGATGGGGGCCTGGATTGGAGCCTTCTCTGGAGCAGAACACTTGGGATTTCTCGTTCTGGTCTGTAGCAAATATGCTATTGATTGGTATCCCCCCTTGCAAAAGATGCTCTGCAACACCGGGTCCTTGACTGACCACACATGGTTGTCTGAGAACTGCTTGCTGAGGTGATCTACTAGTAAGTTCTGTCTGAATGTCTGCAAGGGCTAGTGATATGAACCAGTGACAAATATGCAGCAAGTCAACAGCCAAATGGCCTGACAGAGCAGAGATGACCTGGCTACACCCTGTCTGTTGACATAAAGCATAGCTGTATCAGGCCTACAGACAGGTCTGTTGGTGCAAAATAGGCCACAGGTACCGAAAACAACAGTACTGACATGCCGGCTACCAAGAGTGCCAAAGAGGTGTGTCAGAGAAAAGGCAGTCAGTGGATTTAGCCAGTACAAGCAATTTTTTTCATGGCCACTAATAAGGCGCCAAAGGGACCCATCTTAGACTACTGGCTGCCCATAGACTAGTCATAAGCTTTGCAGCCAAACATGTCAATTCTTGGGTCTCAGTCTAAAGGTCCTGGAGGGGGGAGATCTACATGTGTAGGCTCATCTCTGGAGTGATGCTCCTTCCTAAACCTGCTTAAAGAAGTCAGCACATAGACTGAAGTTGGCAACTGGGACCTCATACATCTCTGCCCTGGAGCTCGAGGTGGAATCCTGGCTCGCGTGGGCACCAGCCAGAAGGGACTGGAGGGAAGACTAGGCCTTAGCTACATCCTCCTCCATGCCCGAGGAAGGTGTCATAGAGCATTTCAGAAGTAGTAACTTTATGCGGGCATCTCTAGACTTCTAAATCCAACTGGAAAAAGAGTGTCCACCATTGAGGGACACAGAAGCAGCACAGGAGGGGCATGCCTTAACCCTAAGGAGTTAGCTTCCATCATAAAGAGCTTGACTCTAGCCCTGCCTACTGGGGAGGGCCCCAGGCTCACCGGCAGGTGTCCCTGGTCACGCTAGTGTGTGCAAGCAGCTTGCACACTCCCAGACAGGAGTCCCTTCCATGCAGAGGTCTCCATCTTGCACACACTAGCCCGACCAGGGACAGCTCGAGTTGCCAGGTGTCCGGTTTTTGACCGGCACACCTGGTCGAAAAGGGACCCTGGTGGCTCCAGTCAGCAGTGAAAAGTCCAGTTGGGGGTCTGGCAGGCTCGCTACATGGCTCTGCGCGGCTCCCTGGAAGTGGCAACATGTCCCTTGGCTCCTAGGCGAGGACACAGCCAGGGGGCTCCACGTGCTGCCCCCGCCCTGAGCACCAGCTCTGCAGCTCCCATTGGCCGGGAACCACAGCCAATGGGAGCTTCTGGGGCAATGCCTGCGGGCGGAGAAAGCACACACAGCTGCCTGACTGTGCCTCTGCCTAGGAACATGTTGCTGCTTCCGGGTAGCCCCTCATGGTAACTGTCACCCAGAGCCTGCACCCCTCACCCACTCGTGCACCCCAACCCCCTGCCCTAGCCCTGAGCTCCCTCCCGCACCCAAACTCCCTTCCAGAGCCTGCACCCCTCACCCCCTCCTGAGCTCCCTCCTGCACCCAAACTCCCTCTCAGAGCCCGCACCCCAACTCCCTACCCCAGTCCTGATCTGCCTCCTGCACCCAAACTCCTTCCCAGAGCCTGCACTCCAGCCCAGAGCCACCTCCCACACCCTGGAGCCCACACCTCCAGCGGGAGCCGTCACCCCCTCTCGCACCCCAACCTCAGCCCAGAGCCATCTCCCACACTCTGAACCCCTCAGCTCCACCCCCCAGCCTGAAGCCCCCTCCTGCACCCCAAACCCCTCATCCCTGGCCCACCCCAGAGCCCGCACCCCAATCCCCCGCCCAGAGCACCCTCCTCTACCCTGAACCCCTCATTTCTGGCTCCACGCCGGTTTTGTGTGATTAGGAAGTTGGCAACCCTAGGGACAGCTGCCAGTGAGCCTGGGGCCCGCCCAGTGGGCATGGCTGGGGACCGTACAGCCACGCTGGAGAAGCTGTCTGGGTTGGGCGCTGGCTCCTGCGAATGGCAGCCCGACATCCTGCTGCTTTTGCCGCTACGATTTCTGGTATAACACTGCAGCTCCACAGATATCCGCTATATCTGCAGATATAAACTTTGTATCCACGCAGGGCTCTACAGATGAGATTTAAGGGACAGAGACAGTCTGGGAATCTAAAATCAGGCAATTGCACAGAAAGTGCCTAAAATTAACTATTTATAATGTATTAACTATAACAAGTTAACAGGAGATTTTTCATTAAAACCAATAAAGGTCCTTTTGACACAGAGTGAAGGCCTTTTTTCTCACAACTAGTCACAGAAAGAAAGGAACTGAGGTGGCTGGGCACCACAAGACTACCAAACAAAATATAAAGCTTTAGATTTATTCCCTCATGAACTTGTCTATATACGAAAAAATCCTTTTTGCATATAACAAAATGGGAAATTATTAGTATTTACCCTAGAATCCTTTTCTGGAACTCTGGTGATTAGCTGATGTGTATATGGACTTTCTTTCTACTGCGTATGCTTGTGTGGTATCTCTGACTGGGACCTTGGAATACAATATTTCTTTTTTTCCCCTTCTTTCTCTCTTTATAATCTCAACTTGTCAGATACATATCAGAAACCAAGTCTCACAAGCAGTGTAAAATGTATCATTACTATAGTGTTCTGTATAGGCTGGGTGTAGAAAATGTTGTTTAAAAGCAGGTCTGTTATGTAATTGAAGCAGAGTACTGTATGGCTTTGTAATTTATTCGGAAAACAAAACTATTTTAAAGGATTGACAATATTGTGAAAATACAGAGAATTTTACTCTTACATCAGAAATAAAGTTTTCCAGAGATTAATTGTAAGCAGACTCAGAGTACTATGAAAATATACAAAGCTGACTCTGAAAATGGATATATCTATTAGGGCTGTCAAGCGATTAAAAAAATTAATCACGATTAATTGCACTGTTAAACAATAATAGAATACCATTTATTTAAATATTTTGGATGTTTTCTACATTTTCAAATATATTGATTTCAATTACAACACAGAATACAAAGTGCACCGTGCTCACTTTATATTTATTTTTGATTTCAAGTATTTGCACTTTAAAAAAAACACACCAAAATATAGTATTTTTCAGTTCACCTAATACAAGTAGTGTAGTGCAATCTCTTTATCATGAAAGTTGAACTTACAAATGTAGAATTATGTACAAAAAAAACTGCATTCAAAAAATAAAACCATGTAAAATGTAGAGTCTGCAAATCCCCTCAGTCCTACTTCTTATTCAGCCAATCGCTCAGACAGACAAGTTTGTTTACATTTACAGGAGATAATGCTGCCCACTTCTTGTTTACAATGTCACCTGAAAGTGAGAACAAGTGTTCTCGTGGCACTGTTGTAGCCGGCGTTGCAAGATATTTACGTGCCAGATGCACTAAAGATTCATATGTCCCTTCATGCTTCAACCACCATTCCAGGGGACATGCGTTCATGCTGATGACGAGTTCTGCTTGATAACAATCCAAAGCAGTGCAGACTGACATGTTCATTTTCATTATCTGAGTGAGATGCCACCAGCAGAAGATTGATTTTCTTTTTTGGTGGTTCGGGTTCTGTAGTTTCTGCATCAGAGTGTTGCTCTTTTAAGACTTCTGAAAGCATGCTCCACACCCCGTCCTGATCAGATTTTGGAAGGCACTTCGGATTCTTAAACCTTGGGTCGAATGCTGTATCTTTAGAAATCTCACACTGGGTACCTTCTTTGCATTTTGTCAAATCTGCACTGAAAGTGTTCTTAAAATGAACATGTGCTGGGTCATCATCCGAGCCTCCTATAACATGAAATACTGTATATGGCAGAATATGGGTAAAACAGAGCAGGGGACATACAATTCTCCCCCAAGGAGTTCAGACACAAATTTAATTAACACATTATTTTTTTAAATGAGCATCATCAGCATGGAAGGATGTTCTCTGGAATGGTGGCCAAAACATGAAGGGGCATATGAATGTTTAGCATATCTGGCATGTAAATACCTTGCAATGCCAGCTACAAAAGTGCCATGCAAATGCCTGTTCTCACTTTCTGGTGACATTGTAAATAAGAACCGGGCCGCATTATCTCCTGTAAATGTAAACAAACTTGTCTGTCTTAGCGATTGGCTGAACAAGAAGTAGGACTGAGTGGACTTGTAGGCTCTGAAGTTTTACAATATTTTGTTTGAGTGCAGTTATGTAACAAACAAAAAAATCTACATTTGTAAGGTGCACTTTCACGACAAAGAGATTGCACTACAGTACTTGTATGAGGTGAACTGAAAAATACTATTTCTTTTGTTTATCATTTTTACAATGCAAATATTTGAAATAAAAAATATACACTTTGATTTCAATTACAACACAGAATACAATATATATGAAAATGTAGAAAAACATGCAAAATATTTAATACATTTCAATTGATATTCTATTGTTTAACAATGCTTTCAAACTGCGATTAATTTTTTAAATTGTGATTAATTTTTTGAGTTCATCGTGAGAGTTAACTGCGATTAATTGACAGCCCTAATATCTATATAAAAGACTACAACCAGAGGCTTGCATATAGTGCTAAGTGTTAGACTTACAGTCTGAAGCAAGATGCCCTGATTTTGATAAACTATAGAAAAGGCTCTGAAATCTACTTTGTAAATTAGTTTCAGGCAAACTGTGTGATTAATTATTCTCATCGTCAAATAAATGGGCTAAACAAGATGAGAATAATAACATTTAAATGAATCATTTAAGTTTTACAAAAGAATTTTAAATTTCAACGTACAACCATCAGCTGTAAAATACTAGAGTCAGAGTATGTTATAAAACAAGAGGCAACTAATACAATCAGTTTCATTAACACAAAAAACAAACAAACAACAAACCAACCTTTTAAAAACTGCTACAAGGGTTTTCAAAAGCAGCAAGCTAATGCAAAAATACCTTGATACTAGCATAAAACAGAGAAGTAGGTACTTATGCCAAATGGGTAAAGCAGTTAATTTTCAGGAGAGGGAAAGAAGTGAGACCCTTGACTTAGAGGGCATCAGTTTGAATGAATTTATATGTACAGTGCTCCTTTTAAGTAAGCAGCTAAAATACTTTTTCCACCCACCTCGACAAGAGGAAGCCACTGTTCCGCGGAAACACTGAGATGTTGAAACTGCTTATCATTTATATAATGAAGACTGCCAACAACTAAAGCAGATGCCCCAAATATTTCACTTGTACGACACAAACCTACAAATAAGAACAAGATTTTAAAATATAAAGAATACTTTAAACAACAAAACTAAGGTATTAAAGCACATGAAAAAGAGAAGACAATCTGAAAACAAATAATCTCCAGCAATATAAACATTTATTTCTCTAGCCCTCTAGTTTTAGTCAACAGGGTTATTTCCAAGTGCTTTTCATGTATGTTCCAAATCATGACTCTCACAATGTCAGCAGAAAAAGGAAAATGCCTTCTATAACCTATCAGTAGGTTAGAAATAAATAACTAAAAAACAAACCAATCCCACCTTTACCACCATGTCCTATAAAGTATTCTGCAATATTTACTTCCAATGATGTTACAGTGCAGTGGGTCGGCATATATGTATGAGTTTTGGGTTACATACACACAAATGACACAAGGAGAAATCTCTGACCAGCAGAGTTAAGAACAATAAGGAGTTTTGTAACTATACTAGGAATAAACAGAATCCTCTCAATGATATTGGTTCATTACTAGATGGAAATGGTAGAATTATTAATAATAATTGCAGAAAAGGCAGGTCTATGAGCGCTCTGAGTTCCAGTATGGGTCTCCAACCCTCTTTTTTCTTCAGTAACTGGAAGTAATGAGAGTAGAAGCCTCTGCCTCTTAGAACTGTGGGCACTGGCTCTCTGGCTCCTACGCTAAGGTTTATCTCTTGACATAGCAGGCTCTTGTGAGAAGGGTTCTGAAGAAGGACAGGGAAGGGTGTTTGGTAGGGGGAAGGGAGGTGAAATGGATGGAGTATCCATCACAGTTGATCTCCAGCATCCATTTGTCGGAGATTATCCGTTCCCAGGTGCTGCGGAATGGGATGAGATGGTCTCTGAAGGAATGGGTGGGGTTTTCCAGCATGAAATAACAATAAGGAGAATGTTCTACAGGCACTTCGACCAATCGTTAAAATTGTTGCTTTGAGGTGGAGGGTTGAGAGGAAGTGGGCTGTGATCCTGACATCTTCGATCTGGGTAACCTGGGCTTCTTCATCTGGAGTTCATATGATCTCTGTGCTGAATACTGAGATGAATATTGTGATGAGTGAGGCTTGATTCGTGGCGGAGGACTATATTTTCTTTTGTACCCAGGTGTATAAATCCTGAGGGATGAAGAGTGGTCCTGGAATCTTTTAAATTGTGAAGGGAGGCGTTGGTCTTCTCGGCTAATAGCTTTGTCCCTTTAAAAAAGGAAGGTCCTCCACAGTCCATTGGACCTCCTTTGGGAAGCCAGACGGATGAAGCCATGAGACCCATCTCATCACAATGGCAGTAGAGATTGAACATGCCATTGTGTCAGATGCATCAAGTGCAGACACGAGAGATGTCTTAGCCACCAATTGGCCTTCGTTGACTATGACTTTAAATTGCTCCTTATGAGAATTGTGGAGCTGCTCAATAAAAGAACTGAGTTTTGCATAGTTCTGATAGTCATATTTTGCCAGTAAGACTTGATAGTTTGCAACACGGAACTGGAGGATGGCCGAGGAGTATGCTTTCCTGCCAAAAAGGTCCAGATGCTTTCAGTCCTGGTCATAAGGGGTGAATTTAAACTGGTGTTGGCAGCCCTTAGAATTAACAGCATCCACAATGATCAAATTGGGAGGTGGATGGGAGAAGAGAAACTCTGTCTCTTTTGCTGGCACGTAATATTTCTTGTCAGCGGGCTTGCATGTTGGTGGAACAGACGCGGGGGCCTGCCATATGACCTTGGCGGGGTCCAGTAGTGCCTCATTAATAGGGAGGGCCACTCCAGAGGAGGTGGAAGAATGTAAAATGTCCACCAGCTTGTAGTGCGACTCGCTCACCTCTTGCAAAGGTATTTGCAATGTTTCTGCCATCCTCTGTGCCAAGTCCTGGAACAGTTTAAAATCATCTGCCATAGATGGTTTGGCGGTGATGATGAGAAGTGTGCTTGAGGAGTAACTTTCTCCTCAACTTCAGCCTTCAGTTCCTCCCTTGCCTGTTCAGGAGGTTCAGAAGCCCTCCAGGCTGCAGCTCAATGGTGTTTCCTCGGTTGCTGGTAGGTCACACTAGAGCAGTGGTTCTCAAACTTTTGTACTGGTGACCCCTTTCACATAGCAAGCCACTGAGTGCGACCCCCCCTTATAAACTAAAAACACTTTTTTATACATCTAACAACATTATAAATGCTGGAGGCAAAGCGGGGTTTAGGGTGGAGGCTGACAGCTCACGACCCCCCATGTAATAACCTTGCGACCCTCTGAGGGGTCCCGACCCCCAGCTTGAGAACCACTGCACTAGAGGTAAGGGAGACCTGTTGTCTTTGAACCTGCTAAGGATCACAGTATGGCCACTGTGATGGGAAGGCGCTGGTGGTTGGTGCACAGCTGACCAAACCAGGAAGGCTGTGGACCAGGGGGATGATATGCCTGAGGTCCACAGTGAAACTGGGTCCCATATGGCAGGTGAGAAGAGTGGTGGGAAACCATGTCCTCTTGCTCACTTTCTGACTGCAACAACGAAAAGGGTGATGCATGGTAAGTCAAGGGTGGTCAAGGGCAAGTCAAGGGCTCTCGGTGAACTCGGTACTGGGTCCCCGGTAATGAGCAGAGGCGAGTCCGGTGCATCAGACACCAAAAGATCCGTCGCGCACTGGAAGTCTGGCGGTGCAGAGGGCATCGGTCCCCGCAGTGGTTGTCGGTGCCAAGAGGCTTGTATAGATGGGGTCAGAGATGTGGACCTGATAGCAAGGTCTGTTGGTGCCAGGCGTACCACAGGCAGTACTGATGTTGATGTCCGTACTGACGGAGCCTTCCCCATTTCGGATCTTCTATATTTTTCATGCCCCTGTGCTTTCTTGCCTGGGACCACTGGGTCACTGGATGGAGCAACCCGACTTGCTCCATCGGTACAATACTGTGCATGCCCTGGGTACCAGATTGACACAACTTTGGTGCCGTTGGTACTGGATCTGGGCTTCAGTTGCTGATAGAAACCACACTTCTGTGGAATGTAGTTCTCTCCCAGGCAATGAACACATTGTGAGTGTCCATCAGTCACCAGGATAGACTCCTTGCAACTGAGGAACTTTTTGAAGCCTGGGATGCAGGGCATACCTTTGTCTAGGGGGGGGTCGTCTCCCCACCCGCCCCCCAACCCCCCCCACCAAGGGTTTGCCGGAAACCAAGGCCCTTTTTCTTTTTTTTTTTTTTTTTTTTTTTTTTAGGCAACGGCCAAAATAAAATCTAAACGAAGTAAAGAAAGAAAAAGGGCTTCAATGGAAGCTAAAAACTGGCAATTCTAAAAGAGTTAATGATCTGCGGATGGACAGCTATAGCTCTGTCGTTAGCCAGGGATAGTTGAGAAGGAACTGAGGAGGGTTCCCCCGCGTATGATTTTTTTAAAATTTAAATTATTTTTCAAAAGAGATATTTATTTAAACAAATTACATTTGAAATTATGACAACCTATGTAAAGGCCAAAATTTAGTATAATCTACTAAAATCATCTAAATTAAATACAAAAAATAATATTCAAGTACTCCATGTTTGCTGTCAAAATTTTAAAGAAAGTAAAACTCCTGAACTGGTGGTAGACTAAGGCTAAGCACCTGGAACTAGAGTTTGTCGAAGTGCTAAATCAGTTTTCGATAGCAGTAGTTCCTTTTGCAGATGCAGAGTGAATATTTTCTTCATTTCAATTTATTCAACTAGTTCAGTTCAATGACTAGTTCATTCAAAGTTGAGAAATGGCCTGAGAATTGAAAAAGCAGGAAAACTTATTTTCCTCTTCCAATCTATGAATAAAAACTAGATGTGAAAGGATGTGATTACGAGTTCTAAACTCCTGAACGACATGAAGGCCAGAAACCATCAGTTCAATTCACTAATTACAGATAATATTTACTTTGTTTAATAAATCAGTTGGTTTTAAAGGCAAAACATGTTTTGCTAAACAGACTTTTATTTCTTATGTATCCAGCACATTTAGGATAGTTTTATTTAACTAATAAAAACAATTTGAAAACACTGTTTTAATAATTTTTTAAAATTTAATTCCAATTTCCAATCCAAATTCAGTTGAACACAAATCACAAGTAAAAAATTAATCTAAACAATAAGAAATGTGTCATTTTTTCACCATTCTAACAACAACAAAAAGTAAAGATTAAGAATCTGAATAAATATATGTTGAGCTATATAACTGCTTAAATAATGTCTATCTAGTGTATTTTCCTGGTTAGCAAAACAAACAAACAAACAAAAACAACAACAAAAAAGAAGAGGTACTAAATTATACCAACCAATAAGAACCAACCTTTCTTTAGGAAGATAAATAAAAAGTACAAATGCAAATAAGCTTTAAATTGATTATTTAAATCAATATTTCCCAATTACTGATTTAAATCATGAATAAAATCAGCTATTTAAATCACAAAAAGTCAATACACCCTGCTCAAATAAAGTATTAAAAATATGCATTGAACCTTACCTCCTAAATTGGTGGGTTTATCAATAAGCGAGGCCACTACAATCAACCTACTGTTGGATTTACCAAGTTTAGCTGCCCGGTCCTGAAATACCAGTTCCAGGTCTAAATCAGGACTACTGTTTTTCCAAGGGATGATCTTTTTCTGAACATCTGTCCATTCTGTTTGGTTATCCGTTTCAACTAAATCTGAACCTAAGAAAAAGTGTTAGGTTTAATTATTTAGATGTGGAAAATACTGACATGATAATGAAACTGTTTGGGAACCCCTGTTTATTGGACACCAAAGTTATACCTTTCTGAAACTATAAGGGTCACATACTATCATCAATTTCTATACATTATGCTAATAGCACAGCATAACTATATGCTCTACTGCAGGTTTTTTAACAATTATGTTTAGCAGAGCAAGTACTGACCAAATATATTGCTACTACCAATCCCAAATAATTAATCTTAGATCAAAACATATATGAATTTATATTTTACCCATATCTTGCTGAGACCAGTCACTTGGTTTTAGATTAAGAAGTTCAGTTCGAGAATGCAACCAATGAAATGCTGCAGGCAAAGAAATGTCAGTATATCTGGTAAATTTACAGAGTGGGATCCATTCATCTTCAACAAGTTCTGAAAGGCGTGGAAGGGTGTAAAATATTGTCTGCAATGTAACACAGAACTTTTAGGATAATCTCAGAAAAAAATAAACTTCAAAGAGATACTAAACTAACTTCAGCATTATATTATTACAAATATTTTATCTGTCATAAGCTATAACTTACTGATCAATACATCTCTGAATACTCATCACCTAGTGCAATACAGTAACATATATTTAACATTATGGACATTTTCCAGTTTTAAAGATAAAACCCATAAAATCCTACCAAAGCAACAATCTAAGAAAAGGTCTTTACAAATATTATGCTGGAAAATGCCTCAAATGTACAACTTTTCTAATGTTAAAAATTGATTGTTTAAGGGGCTAGCAGCAAGGGAACTCAGACACACACTGGAAGCTTATACCTCAGAACACAGAGTTTTGAAGGGCAATAATTTTTTAATCCCTATATTTCAACAAAATTAAAAAAAAAAACACCCAATAAAAGATGTTAACTCCTAAAAATAAGCTATAACTAACCTAAATACAAAACATGGGGGTGGAAAGGGGAGGGGAAATCAGGAAAAAATAGAAAACCACAAATTGGAAATCCAGACCTCCTTTCAATTTCAATGGTTAGTTTTATTTAATCAGTGGAATGTTATGCCACCCTCATATGTTGGTACAGTCACTAAACTTCACAATAGTTTGGAACTAAAAAATGTGTAAGTCTGAAAAGAAAAACAATCCTTTTGTGATGTTTCACTCATTCTTTATGAAAATATGCTTATGATATGAATATGACATAACTGAAATGTACTTTATACAAGATGGCGCTTGTAAGATATCACTGGAAAGGTTATAATTTATTGAATGTGATTATCCAATTTGTATGCCTGTATCATTTCTGTATCTGAAGTTAGAAATATTGACTATGTATCTATATTTCAACTATGCTACTTTGGGTGACACCCACTGCTAACACTTCAGGTACAACAATGGAAATGCCAGACAGGGCTGATGACCCATCAGCCAGGACAATGGACTGTGAAAAAGCTTGGCCTTCCTGCAGACGCTCCATACTGCCAGTGACTCATGGACGCTGTGATACTACAGAGTCAGGTGGTCTTGTCACCTGATACTAAACATTGCCTGGGACTTCTTGTAACTTTCCACTGGAAGGGAAGGGGGGTCAAGTTTGGGAAACAAAGGATTCCTGCCTTATGTAAATCCTATTTAAGGGTGAGGAGGAAGGCAAGCGGACACCTCCATTCCATGGCCTGTCTGCCCAAGAAGAAAGACCGCGAAAGCCACCTGAAGGGGGTGTGGGGGGGGGAATGAGTCCAGACTGAGACGGGTCCAGTCTGAAAAGGAATATAACTGGAATTCTGAATCACAGAAACTTTGCAGCCTGCCTAAAATAACATTTAGGGTGAGAATTTACATGTTGTGACCTGTTTCTTAAGTATATTGAGCTTAGCTTGCATATTTTACTTTATTTGGTCAGTAATCGGCTTTGTTCTGTCTGTTATCTCATATATTCACTTAAAATTCACCTTTTGTAGTTAATAAAGTTACTTCTTGTTTATAGTATAACCCAGTTTATGTAATTTCTAACGGGGGCGGGGGGGCAAGAAGTTGTGCATAACTCCCTCCACATTGAGAGGGGGGGGCAAATTTCATAAAACCTTTGGGTTTGTACCCCTTAAAGGGAGTGGGCACCAGGCTGAATCTTTCCAGAGTGGACTTCTGCCTCTGTGCAGCTGGGTGTGGCGCTTCCTGTGTGCTTGACTGGAAAAGGCTTGTGAGCCTAGCCCAGCAAAGCCAGATAAAGGGGATCCAGGCTGGCAGAACAGGCTGACTCAGTGGCACCCCAGCACATCAGGTGACACCCCAAAGGGCCCAAACCCGTCACACCTTTCTTTTGAGAAATTTGGGAAAATTTAGTCTACAGGAAAACTAAGGCGGTGATCTTAGGTGAATCTCCCTGAAAGAAATGAGCAGATACAATTTGGACTCTAAAGAAGCAAGAAATGTAATTCATTCAATGACTTCCTGTTACTGTTTTAGAGCAACAGATTAAATCACTCTAGCTAGGATTGCATAGAAATGTATTGGGCCATAACAAAAAAATATTAAGATGTTTAGAAAACTGATTGATCACCAATAGCATGGATGGATTGACTATGTAAACTATTATTTTATTAACTGAGATGCTCAAGAATAGAAGACGCTCCAAATTCATACTCTTATGTAATACATCTGAAAACAGGTAGTTTTCCCTCAATCAACAGCAAGCAAATTTCAAATTTCTGAGAGGATGTTCTGTTTTTGTCAAGATAGCTGTGCATTTTTCCTCATTCTTGCCTCTTTTCTGCTTCAGACACCCTACTCCTGTTTTTCATCTTCATCTTTATTTTGCCTTATTTTCTCTTCCCCTTTTGTTAATCACTCAGCTTTGAGTTATTCTGAGCCACAGTGATGAAGCTGAGCTGAAGGAGGAACTGATGAGTGTGACTTAAATGCATCTTTGTCTTTAACTGACAGAAAGTGAGTATTTTAGCTAAGCCACTTCAAAAAGCAGTTTAACAGCACATCATAGAACAAGTGGAAGAGTGAGCGGAATAAAATTCTGAAGGTGGGTCATATAAAAAAAAACGTTGTGGCGGTCCATATGTGTCTTATTGGCTGCAACTGAGCTACTGCAAACAATTGATCGAGCAACAAATACAAATATGACTAGAAAGGAGTTCACTTGTCTGCTTCCTCCAGATTAACCAACAACAATTATAATACACTCCTACATTCTTGGGTTTTCTATGCCATTGATTTAGTTTTCTAGCCATGATCGCTATAAAAAAAATAATTTAAAAAATCATTTGAGTCCAAATATATTTGTTTTAGTCTAAGATGAACTAAAACATTATGAAGTTATTTTTCATGAAATCCAAAAATCAGTTACAACTGATCATTACTCATCATGCAGTAGAACAATGTCCAAATTACAAATACAGCAGCAAAGCAGTGAAAAATCATTGACTATTATATACAGTATTTTGTACTTGCCTCTAGACTGTAATCCTTCAGGGGATGAAATGTTGCAAAAAAGAAATGATCTTGGATTCGTTGCCAATTCTTTCTAGCATTCCTATGCATTGCAAAAATACAGTAAGATATATGCCAAAATTCTACATGTTGACTTATTACAGTCTGACAGTAAAGAAGTCCAGTCTAAATGCACATATTATATATTGTGTTAATGGAAAAGAGACTATTTTAAATATATATTAGCCACACATATTTATGAGACTCATTTATGAATACAATGAACTGGAAATAAATTCACTTTGTGTTTCCAGGAACTTGGAAGTAACATATCTCTATGAATTATGGTAACTAAGATAAGTATGTTTGATAGGGAAAGGTATCATACCCTTTCTTAGAGAAGGGGAACAAAAGTTCTCCCAGGAACTCAGAATAAGAGGACTTATGAATGGTGACAATAGAGATGAATGAAAAATTAAACAAACTAAACTGCTTAAAACTCCAAACCAGTAATAGGAGGGGTGTTCATATCAATCTAATTACAAATAAATACACTGCAAAAATAGCAGATAATCAATTTCTCTATTATTTCAACCTTCTCTTTCTCTTGCCAGGGTTAGTGAAATTACAAACACCTAAAACAGTGCAGGAAGTTGCATTCAACATTTTATTTCTTTGGATTTCAGTGATACCACAAATATTTGCAGGAGGATCCTAATTTAAGAACACAAGAACAGTTGTACTGGGTCAGACCAAAGGTCCATCTAGCCCAGTATCCTGTCTACCGACAGTGGCCAATGCCAGGTGCCCCAGAGGGAGTGAACCTAACAGGTAATGATCAAGTGATCTCTCTCCTGCCATCCATCTCCATCCTCTGACAAACAGAGGCTAGGGATACCATTCCTTACCCATCCTGGCTAATAGCCATTAATGGACTTAACCTCCATGAATTTATCCAGTTCTCTTTTAAACGCTGTTATAGTCCTAGCCTTTACAACCTCCTCAGGTAAGGAGTTCCACAAGTTGACTGTGCGCTGTGTGAAGAAGAACTTCCTTTTATTTGTTTTAAACCTGCTGCCCATTAATTTCATTTGGTGACCCCTAGTTCTTGTATTATAGGAATAAGTAAATAACTTTTCCTTATCTACTTTCTCCTCATCACTCATGATTTTATATATCTCTATCATCTCCTCCCTTAGTCTCCTCTTTTTCAAGCTGAAAAGTCCTAGTCTCTTTAATCTCTCCTCATTTGGGACCCATTCCAAACCCCTAATCATTTTAGTTGCCCTTCTCTGAACCTTTTCTAGTGCCAGTATATCTTTTTTTTTTTCTCAAGTCTTGGCAGATAAAAAGCCCCAAGTCTGCACACATTTGATTAGATGTGGAATAGAGAGATAAATGAACAGATTATTAGCAGTATTAGTAACATGTCAACATGTTCGCTGTAGGTTTTGTGATGTGATCCTACACCTAGGAAGGAATTTGTAGTGCTCACTAAACATTACTCTTTGAACATGGATCTCCTATGTGAATGATCCTTTAAGCCAAGTACAGGTGAACCTCGATTTTATGAACATCAATCTTATGAATGGCCATTTATACGAACCATTTTTCCTCCATAGAAAAAAAAACAAAAAGGTCACATAATGAGAGAAATGTTGATGAAAAATAAGTCAACATCCCTTCACATTCCAATACCCTGAAAATCACTTTGCAGTGGTTTGATCGACAAGAAGGCGGCTATGCAGTACACCATCCTGCAATTTATACACCATACGTACTGTAATTTTGAGATGTTCAATGTTAGGAACTTTTGAATTTTACAAACTCATCAATCTACAATTAATTCATAAAATAGGGGTTCTACTGTAACTCCAAATGCAGGGGACACACAAGTACTGGCATTTCTTTATATATAGCCAAGAAATGCAAATCTTTTGGAAATTAATCTGTTAAATCAGGGGTCGGCAACGTTTGGCACGTGGCTCGCCAGGGTAAGCACCCTGGCGGGCCGGGCCAGCACCCTGGCGGGCCGGGCCAGTTTATTTACCTGCTGACGCGGCAGGTTCGGCCGATCGCGGCCCCCACTCGCCTCGGTTCGCCGTCCCGGGCCAATGGGGGTGGCGAGAAGCGGCGCGGGCGAAGGATGTGCTGGCCGCATGCCAAACGTTGCCGACCCCTGTGTTAGATTAAACATTTAAACACCAGTATTTTGTAAACATGTTATATTGACAAACTAGCCCCAATTCACAATGCACAGAACAAATAAATATTTACTGTAATTTATTAGCTAATAAGCTTTGTTTTTCAATCTGGGAGGCAAGATGAGAAAATTCAGGACAGACTACAAAAAGTTATGAGCCCTATTCCCCAAGCCACTAAGCTCATCTCCATTACACTGCCGATAGTCTGAATAACATAGTCTGCTCACATTCTCAGACAGGCACAATAGTTATCGGATGAATGCAGAACTTTCTACTGAGGATTCAAATTAAATGAAACCTTTTAATTCTGAAACACAGAGAAGGAAGGAAGTTTTCTATAATTTCATTTTATCTGCTGATGACGTCTTTAAATTCCATTTCTAAGTGTTCTACTTAAATAGATGAAACACATCAAAATCACAAAGATTATCAAGTGCTACTTGACAAGATTAGACAAGTGGTTTAAGAAGATCCTCAGACACTACAAATGATTCCAGCCAAGATAGATGGAAGAGCTGCATTCTAAATCAGAAGAATTTCACTAACCCTGCACCATGCATGTTTTCCACTTGATGAAGACTCGATTCAATAACTGGTGTCAAAGCTTCAAATTCTTCCACACACAATGCTTTGCACATGCCCCAGATTTTCTTGAGGGCTACTAATGCATAAAGTCGAACACTGAAATTGTGGTTGAAACACCACTGTAGAACAACAAGAAGGGCTTTCTTCAAAATTGGCTTCTAGAGAGGGAAAAATATTCTTTAGTTTACATTTTTGACTCATCACAGCATTTTGCCCCTGGAGAGCATAGGAAATAGTTTGGGATTGTGAGATAAGAACATTAGCTAGTGTTCTGCTAAAATGGTCAGCACTGAAATACCTAACACAGTTTCATTTAAATTGCAAGCTTTAAGTTTCAGACTTGACAACCCATTCACATGAATGGAACAGTTCACATCTCTCAGAACCAAAAGCTTGTCTGCACATGTAGTTATTCAGAAATGAATTAACTCCATTTGTGGACACTTATTCCAGAATGAAAGTGCCTTGCTCCTGTTTAGCTTATTAAAAAACAAATACAACTCTTATCTATAAATGTTTAAACTTCATGTTGGCTTTCATTTGTAAACACACCAAAATATTATTTACTATTTGTATTACCATGGTACCCAGAAGCCCTAGTCATGGGCCAGTAGCCCATTGTGCTAGATGCTTACTAACACAGAACAAAAAAGATAGTCCCAGCCCAAAAGAATGTGCAACCTAAGTATAAGACAAAAGATGGATACATTCAGCTAGACTAGAAGTACCAGGAAACAATGAGACAATATTGGTCAGCATGATAGGCTCTGATTTCAGCATACCACTGGCCTAACCATTGTCACATTTCTTGTAGACATCACAGGAAAGGAGAGTTTTGAAGGAAGACAATGAGGTTGCTTTGTGGGTGATTATGGGGAACTCCTCACAAGTATGAGAGGCAGCATGGGAGAAGCCTGCCATCTTCTCCTGGAGGTCTGCATCAAGCAATTAGTTAAATGGACAATGTCAACTTGAAATTTAATCAGTTTCAAAAAATGAGTTAAAAATAGTCTCAAGTACTATACCCCTTCTCTAAATTTTCCTCCCATTGTGGTTTTAAAAATCACCTTTTCCTATTTTTTAAAAAATTGTATCTCTCTCCCCTCTTGCTGTGTGAAAGCTCTCACACAAACTGTAGAGGAAACCAACATATTTTTTGGGGGGGAGAGGGGGAGTTGTCAGTAAAACTGACTATACACAAAATGACCAAACTGGAAAAAGGAAAAAAAAAAACAGAATGTTTTTCCTTCAACCAGTTTCAGCTCAGTAATCTGAAATGCGAACTGTAATAATATTAGGTAAATGTTTTTCAGACACAGGTGTGATTTTGAAGTTGACAATGATCCTTTAATAAGCACAATTCCTTTTTATATGTGGTCCAAAACAGTGAAGAGGACAGAAGGCAGCAGCGTGTGTGGGTTTCTGCTACATAAGAAACACAAAAGGATGGGGTAGGGCAAATAGCTATGTTAGGCTCAGAAATTTAATTGAACATCACACAATGCTATCTAAAACATTAAAACCTAAAACTGAACAGGCACAATCAGATATTTAAAGCACACTAAACACACACATTAAAAAAAACATTCACAACCACATCTTCAGGGTTGATTTTGTTTTTCTCTGATTTCCGCCTTTAATTTAACATTTTGGACAATAAGGGAAGAGCTTTATTTAACTTTGATAGTCTAACACTGATTAACTTGATCCTGACAACTTATACAAAAGGCACTGAAGACAGCAGGATTACTTATGTGAGTAACAGTTTGCAGGGTTGGTCTCTATGTGCATTTGGACTTTTATCCTGTACAAAAGACTCCAGAAGTCATCTAAACTAGTGGCAAACTGACACAGTTACAATGAGCACAGGAAAAGTTAACATTTGACAGCTTAAGAAAGAGACTGACAAAATTACTAGGGAAATAAACATTTCCAAGATTCCAAGAAACTATTACAACCCATTTTTAAAAATCCCTATATAATGCAATTGTGAGCATTCCTTGAAATGTTTGTTCTGGTTTTCTGTAATTTGAACTTACCTTCTCAGAGGTATTTTCAAGAATAATGTCAAAGTGAGACAACACAGATAAAAATGTACAGATGCTAGTTTTAAGCTTTTCTTCACCCTGAAGTGAACACAATGTAATAAATGGAAAAATGTTATAGCTGTACCTTTTTGTATTTCACAAAGTGTTCTATAGACTCCAATTATAGCTGCAGTCTTTGTAACCACAATGACCATTCTACTGGAAAAACATGTTTTCATTAGCAACACTTATTTAAAAAATTACGTAATTTTGTACAAGAGTATGGTTTTGGTTATTCATATTGTGTTCGTTTTTGTAAAATATTTTAACCAATACTAACTATACTATGGTATATATGAAATAAGCTGCATTCTCAGTTAAGTCTAGATAAAAAATTATGACAATTTGTCCCTGTGCAAAAAAAAGCAAAAGTGTGAAAAAAACTGATCGGACCTGAATTAGCTAGGAGACTGAACTGTTTTGTTACTTGCAGTGGTACACCTCTACCCAAATATAACGCTGTCCTCGGGGGCCAAAAAATCTTACCGTGTTATAGGTGATACCGCGTTATATCGAACTTGCTTTGATTCGCCGAAGCACACAGCCCCGCCCCCTGGAGCGCTGCTTTACCGTGTTATATCCGAATTCGTGTTATATCGGGTCACGTTATATTGGGGTAGAGGTGTAGTTGCTGTGTAATAGGGTTGAAGCACATTGATGAGACAGCATGGGAAAGCTTGTGCTACTGTTACTTTTGCTGTACCTGTTCTTTGGAAAAATAAGGAGGATTTGGTTTCCTAAGTGGCCATTCCAGTACCTTTCATATTCCACTAGTAAGGTTAATTTCAAAAAATAAATTAATTGAAAAACATTCAAAAAAATAATGCTTCCAAAGTCTACTTTGTCAAATTGGGAGTCTGGGAGAAGAACATCATCATGCTTCACAGATGTAAGCAATATGCAGTGCTAATAATTCAGAGTTTAAGGCCAGAAGAGACCACTAGATCCCCTAGCCTGACATCCTGTATATCACAGTTCCCTACATTTAATCCAGTTACCCGTCTTGAGCCCAATAACTCGTGTTTGACTAAAGCAGGGGTCGGCAACGTTCGGCACGCGGCTCTCCAGGGTAAGCACCCTAGCGGGCCGGGCCAGTTTATTTACCTGCTGACGCGGCAGGTTCGGCCGATCGCGGCCCCCACTCGCCGCGGTTCGCCGTCCCGGGCCAATGGGGGCGGCGGGAAGCCGTGACCAGCACATCCCTCGGCCCGCGCCGCTTCCCACCGC